TGTCATTTCTTTTTTGTCTTCCTTATGACAATATTTTGTTTTGCATTTAAGATACATTAAAAAGTAGGGAAAATATACCACATAAAAACACTCACATCACACCGCTTGTATAGCTCGTCTTGAAATTCTTCACCTGCGTACTATCTCTAAATATTTATCGTTAGGAAAGAAAGGGTATGTTGGAATCTTCTGGTTACTTTGATAAATCTCTTAAGAGGGTAATTCTTTTACTGCTTTTATTAAATGCCAACTTCACGTATCACTGCTGCTTAAAAACCTTTTTCCCTCAATGACAGGATCAAGTTAATGCTGTAATCTAATCCTTACAGAATCCCTCAATCCCAGCTCTGTAGGTTACTCACTGCCATGAGCATCAGCCCTTGTTTTAGACACGTTTCCAACCAGGGACAACCTCTTCCTTGTATTCTACTTAAACGAATCTTTCCCATCCCACAAGCCTCAACATGTCAATTTTCTTGACTATTTCAACAGAATCAATATCTGATTTCTATGTCTCCATTCACATTTAATATTTGTACCCACACTAGGCCTTAATAATTTTCTTTCTTACAACCTCTCTTATATCACTATCTTCTAACATTAGATAGCTTTCCATGTGCATCATCTTCCTAAATAGATTATCTTCTTGAGTGCAAGAACTTAGTGTTTTCTTAACACATAAATGACTGCTAAGATACTATACACTTAGCAGCAACGTTTGATAAGGATTTGTTAACTAATATTTGAAGGAAAAAAGAATATTAACCTCCTTTAAATATAAAAGTGATTGTAATTACAATTTTGTTACATACATCATTAAAAAGACAAACAAAAAATCGCACTCTGTGGGAAAATATTTCTAATAAATAATTTTAAAGAAACTATTCAAATCAATGTTTTAATAACTCTCTACCAAAATACGTATATTTCTTCTAAAAGTCACAGAGCATTTCTTGAAAATCACTTCCAGAACACCTCATAAAACAGCCTGAATTCAGTAATCCCCTAATCTCCAGGAATTTATCCCGAGGCAAAAAGTAACTATCCAAGTTTATGTTCACACTGTAGGTAAACTATTGCATCAATGTGAACATTCACCAAAGTTTGCACATATTAATGTTTTAAAATTAAGATGCTGAAATTGCAGAATTACAACTGAGGGAAGAAAACGCTACGGCTAATGCCACTGAAACTAAAGCATTCGTTTTATTTCATGCATAGGTTTCACAATCTACATTGATATGATATAAATATTTTGCCTTTCTCTGCAACTCCAAGCAGCAGCTAATAATGAAGCAGTTGAGAACCTGACTTAATGATTGCTAACCAATAATATTTGGCTGGTGAAGCTGGTTAGCACTGACTTAATGCAAAATATTCAGGACACTTATCAAAACTCCCCCCAAAATGGAAAAAAAATAGATAAGCAAAAGAAGTTAAGAATCTATACCAAAAGTAAAACCAATTCAGTGTTGTACCTCTCTTATCCTAAGTCTCAGAAAACATCAACTTTGCAGGGTTCAGAATATAAACCAAACAACTAATCTTCTCATAATGTCATTCTGAAACAGCCATCATGAATTAGAAATCAAGCTGAACTATTCTTGATCGGGTAAGAAACCCAATCTGAAGGTTTATTGCAGATATTGGGGTGTGAATAATGAGTTTCATGGAGTATTTTTTTACTGTCCCAAACAATACATTACTCTTAATATTTTAAAACTATATCTTCAAACCTAAGTGAAATGACCCCTAATTCCCTAATTCCAGTGCTCAAGGATTTAGTCATTTTGATCATACATACTAGCAGATATATAATTGAATGCCGATTAATGCTAAATGCTGTAAAGAAAAAATTACACAGGGGAAATGGGTAGTGAATGACAAAGTGTGCTTCTTTTGAAAGGGTAGCAAGAAAGGTTAATTTGCTGTGATGGCATTCTTACAGAGACCTTTAACATTCCAGGAAGACCAAACAGCAGGAGCAAAGCCCTGGGACAGGCATGTGTTTGGCAAGTTCAGGGAACAGCATGAAGCCAGGGTCTGGAGAACAGTTGGGGATGAATGTGGGGACACTGGAAATGAAGGTAGAGCAGTTGTTTGGTTCCGTGTCCTGAAAAGGCTTGTAGACCACATGCTTGTGATTTTAAGTGTAATGGGAGCTATTTTAGGTTTGAGAGCAGGTCAACCCAGTAGTCATTTAGTAAATGTTTAAAAAGTGCAAAAAACCAGTTGCTTGGTAGAAAAAAAAGAAACAAAATCTATTGTCCTAAGTGCCATGTAGAGAAATGGCTATTGAAGAAGTATCCCTTCCAGTTCTGAAATTCTGGAATTCTGTAACTCCTTGGTTGAAAGGAACGAAGGAAGTAAAATTCCAGTGCCCATTGGAGCCAGCTTTTAAGTCTCCAACACCCTCTGCATACACTGCATACAAATAAAACACAATTTAAAAATAATCCAACATAATTATATAGAAACCAAACTACGACACATCTTCCTTTATTTAAAATAGAGTTCTATATGCTTCACAGAAACAAGTGCAAGTGCTTGATTTATTATCTTTCCCACTTTACAAAACAATACATTTTCAGAAAATGCATACATAAAAATATAACATTTAGGCAGATAATTATTTACATCTGAAGACAGATGAAAGTTACGCGATAATATTAAAAAGCTTTAAAATAAATACTTTTATGACTTGCTGTTGGTAAAGTTAAACATTTTGGTATAAAGGCTATCACTGAGTTTTTAATAAATTCTAAAACACTACTATTTCTAAATAAAATAAGTCTATACATATTACTATAAAATGCATATTTTCACAGACTAGAAATTAATGAAACATCTGAATATCATTCACTTCTCTTTGGAATTTGAAATTCTCTTCACCTTCAACATTTAAATTACAACTACTAAAATCCATCTACATATTTTTGATACAGTTTATTGCCCAATTCTTATTTTAAAACCTAATTTTTTTTTCATATTCCTTCCTTATATACATTCCTTTGGGCCTGTCGGCTGAAAGACAATCTTTTTACATACTTAAGAGTATCAGCTAGCTTACAAAAAGTCTTTACAACGGTGATTCTTTTCACAGTAGTTCAAGAGTTCAAGGCATGTTTTGCAATGTCAAACTGCAATGGTTTTGACATTTGTAATATGTTCTTAGGTATAAGAAGAGTCACGCTACCAAAAGAAAAGTATAATTAGTATTAGTACTTTGAAAGTCAATCCAAAATTCCTTTTTTGAGATCTGAATCTAATTTTCTGTTTTTAGGACATTTAAAAACCTGAAACACAGATCAAGTTTGAATAATCTTCTCCAGTCTAGAATTAGAAGAGTACATGAGCATGACACTAGTCATTGCAGAAATGAACTAGAATTTAATATTTTGGCTCAGATACTCTTATTTTGTATAAAGAGGAAAAAAAGGGCTGGGTCTTCAAAAATAGTTGCTATTATTTAGCCTATGGAAGAAATAGAAATATTAGTAAATTTCATTCTATGCTTGCATTTCCTAGACAAAATTTAGGCACACAATCCTCTCTTTACAGGCAAAGTCAGTAATTAGCTCCATGCATAGAATGAAAACTGTGTGTAAGATGTCAAAATTAGGGTCCATGTGCCTTGCTGCAGATTGTCTGGGTTGAAAAATTAAACCAACACGATAAACATACAATTTCTTTTCTCTCAGGAATGCCAGGATGAAAAGATAAAGTATTATTTCTTCTAAGTTCTATGTTCAATTTGCAGACGTCAAGAATTATTTTGGCTTTTTAATTCTCATTTTCTGAAGATGTATAAGCCAGACCATTCTTTAAACATATATAAGCCAATAAGATGCTTTTCTGTAAAATATAAAATTATGTCTGGGAGCCAATTGCAGTTGGATTTTAGCCCCCATCTGCCCCTCAGCTGGGAAGATTTGTATAGAGCACAGCAGGCCCGACTGGATGTGATGGCAGTGGGTATAAGGGTAATCCCCTAAAGCACTCAGATTCTCAGTGGCCCTATTAAAATTTAGATTAATGTAACCCACAGTAAACTCTTGCAGTTAAAACTGTTAGGTCTGGAGAGAAAAATTTCTTTTAGGATAACCTGGACCAATGATCAGGAAATACAGTCACATCTGAAAATATTGAAATCTAGGATGAAATAGAGCTCTTCTCTCAAATGTATTCACCTACAACTGAAAGAGAAAAGTATGCTGGCAGTTCTATTATTGTTAGGGGAATTTTAAAATAGAGATTGTTACCTAATTTTGCTGTATTATTATATTCCAAACTAATAGCATAATGGCTTAGTTTTAAGAGATGTCAAAAGCAAAACAAAGCAATGGTATGGAACAGCAGAAATAAACTGAGCAAGCACATTATGGGGCATATATTTCAAATTGTCTTTCCCAGTCACTATTTCTCAAGTGGGATTTAGCATTAAAGCAAAAGTAGACATTCTTTATATGTTAGCTAAAAGCTAGAATACCATTAACAGCTAGTCTTTTTAGGTTTTGGAAAAAAAAAATCATCTCTGCCATTAACAAATACTCTATAGTGCCAAATGAAGGATTACTGGAGAAGTTACGAGGTGAAACCTCTTATACATCAGTGGGGAACTTAAAATCTTGTTAAGAAGTTCATTGTGTAGCAGTTTGGACAGATTAAAAGATAACTAAATAATTACAGGAATTATAGAGTGACTTGGGATTGATGAGATCTGCCAAACATTTTTTAATGCACTAAAAGAAGATGGATGCCAAAGACAAACTAATGAGAAACTGATGGGGGAAAAAAAAGAGAAAGAGAGAAAAGTCAGATAATATACCACTGGACATAGTCCCAAATTCAGCTATTAAATCACCTTTCACCCCCATTCCAAAGTACAAAGAGAAAGAAGAATCCTTACAGAAAGGGTGGGGGATGTCAGGAAGCTTCTCTAATTATTACTGGCACTAAGAAATTCTGTACTCTCACTGTCCCTAAATTTTATCCATTAATTTTATCAGCACCCCAGTGGTTGCCTACTTAGCTTGACAACCATTCTACAAATCTCTTTGCCTAGTTTAGTTTTTCTCAGTGACCCCACCCTGAGTGAGTAAATTATTTTATTAGAAACACAAGAAGTGGGATTTTATCATCATCATTGAATGGCACATTACGTTAGTGTGCATTCAAGGTAGGTTTAGATGCGTGCAAATTAATTTTTAACCAGTAAAAGTTGGGGATATGGCAAGGAACAGTGCTGGGTGTCACCACCTGGCTTTCATGAGAGTTCTGCTAATAACTAGTAGTCATTTAATCTCTGATCCTTGGTCTCGTCATCTAAACAAAACTGGAATCAAGTTATATAATCTCTGAGAGTACTAAGGGATTCTCTTTCATTAGAAGGCTAAATTCCAGATGGTTAAGTTAAATAATAGTTACTTTTTTTAATTAGAAACTAATGATAATGTTGAAAGATAGGGAATATTAAGGAAAAAAGTGAGAAAAATAATGAAATATAAAGCAAGGCTAGATGGAAAAAAGAAAGTCAAATATCTATATATTTTCATTAAAATGTTTTGAAAAATGCCCATATTATAAAAATTCTACTTAATATTAACGTTTTTTAAAAACTTATATTCCAATTGACTTGTTATTTAGAAGCAGCTCTCAAGATAAAACAATTACTGTTTTCACTAAAATAGCAGAAAAACTCCATGTAGGTATTAGCACACAGAGCTAGAACTAAGCATTGTCAAACAGAAATGGTATGTTTCACAAAAGATGTTTAAAATATCTTCGAAAACCACAATGGTGCCATTTTAAGATACCAATACTAAACATTCCTAAGTAGCTTGTAATGATGTGTTTGTGAATTTATTTAAAGGAATGATTATTGAAGACATCAACTGCCAGCTTTTATTCATTTGGTACTGTTATTTTCTTAATTTTCCAGTGGGAAATAAAATTTCTATATTTTAAATACATTTATTTAGCCAAATACACTCTCATACTTATTTCAATCAAAGACTATGCCCTAACAAGCAATTTTAAGTTGTTTACTCAAACTTTGTATAATAGCAAACATCAACTCCCTGTTTTCAGATGATTTGCTAAGCAGGTTCCGTTCCCTGGTACTTTTGCGCAGACTCAAAGATAACCCTGAGTTTTCTCTGCCCCAATGAGTCACATGGTGGCAAAATTCCAGGAAAATAGAAGTAGTTGTGTTTTATTTTATTAATAATTCTACAATAGTAGCTGTAATAAAATAATAAATTACTGTGGAACTTCTAACCTAATGAATCTATTGTAGATTTTCATTTTTAAATAAAAGCTAATTTTAATTTTTTCAGATACTGCAACCAGGTTACTATTTTCATACAATCATGGAAATTTAAAATGCAAAGTTAATTGAAAGTATAAAGATGAAAAGCAAGTGCTATGCCTAAAATAGTGCACGACAGTCATGTTTCACTTAACTCTCAAGTCAGAACATAAATTAAGAATTCTAGATGTGACATGCCAAATATTTTAGACATAGAAGAAAGCATACAACAGAATCTGTACCAATTACAAACTTAAAGGCAAAATTTACAAGGCAACAAGTTCATGCTGAAATACTGACAACAAATAATGTTTCTCTTATTTTCAGAAAGTGATGCTGCATTTAAATCCCATCACCACTTTATACAGTACTGAAAATTCATAATAGCGTTTTCCCAAGTCTTGTATTATACCCCAAAGCCAAAATATCTGTAAGGAGTAAAGAACACTGATACTCTGAACCTAACCTAAGAAGAATTTTTTTTTTTTTTTTTTGCTTATAACAAAATTTAAAAGAAATAAATATTACACAAAGGGACTCCATTAAAAACAATATAACATTTGACAGCATAAGTATATACAAGAAGCCTGCCTTATGCTCTAAACTTCATCATCCTATTTTTGTAAGTGAGCATATTCTATATATAATCCTGTTAAGAGTAAAGGAAATATTACAACTTTTAACATTTTCCTCATCATTTTTGCTGCTCTATTCCCTTTCTTTAAAAATGTGTTTTGTAATTGAAATATAAGACTACTCAGCTAGGAGTCATAGTTAACCAACACAAGAACAAGAAAAATACCTCAAAATGTACTAACATACGGATTTCTTCAGAGTGAAAGTTGAACCAATAAAATATGAAATTATATTTAGACACCCTCAAATAAGCTACAAAACATAATGACAAGAAGAATGGAGATGTTAAAAAATCCTCTCTTAAAAATTCAATAAGCATATTTACCCAACATAAGTAAATAAAACAGGAAATATCATTCTTGTTTATTTGAGGCACGTACAACTATAGTAAATAAATAATTTCATTCTTATATATGCAGAACAACAATCTATGAGAAATTAGTAACAAGCATAAGCAAGATTACCCCTTCACATAGGCTCTTTTTAAAAATCACTTCACATAGGCACTTTTAAAAACTGATGATATATTTAGATTGTCTGTAATATCCAAATAAAGCTACTTTCTAAATGCGCTGCAAATGAAAGCGATTTTCAGACCTATCCTAGAAACCCACTGTCATGCAGAACTCAAGACATCCCACTTCATATTTTATCTGTCAATTTATTTTCTTCCCCCACACACTCACATCCCTATTCACATTCCCAAATTAGACTTTAAAATCCCTGAGGGCAGGACCTATCTATCTTTGTATTCCCTCTTGTACCCGATATTGTGGCAAGCAAGATATGGGTACTCTATGATTATTTAATAAGTGGATGAGAGCATTAACAAGCATGGAAGTACACGCAAATTCCATAGCTGTCAGTGTTTTGCCTTCCTTATTTCAGCTCAGTAAAATGAAGATATATTCAGTAACATATTTTCATAGTGAAATGAAGCATAATCACTAAATTGTATTCTATGAGAAAATACAGAAGTATATCCTTCAGAACACTATTACCCAAGCTGTGCTTTGCTTTATAGAACAGTTAAATATGGGATAGTAAAAAGTTTCTCCTCCTCTTAATAAAAGGGTTCCACCACGATCAAGTAATCTGAGCAATCCAGTTTAAAAAAAATTCAAGTAGCATTTCTTTACTGTTATTAGTTTTGGTTTTTTTGTTTGTTTTTTGGTTTTACCATTATCAATAGCATTTATTTCACTCTTCAAAATACATTATATGCTAACATGTACTATCACTTTCTAAGCAATATCAAAGAACACTTTAGTCTTGGATCATCTCAGCAGAAGAAAGTTCTATGGAATGGAGTTTGACAAAAGATGTTTTAGGAGAATAAAAGACATCATGTTAAATTTCCTTTACCAAAATAGCATTATAGATTTGAAGGGCATATTTAATGTCCCATTAAATATTCATTACTCTGTGTCCACAGAAAGTAGAATGAAGGCGGAACTATCATGAGCATTCTTCTGTACTCACTCACTCATTGTGAAAGGGTAGAGGAATATGTATTTGCTGTTTCTCATACCCTCTGTAGGGTTTGGTTGTTACACTTCATTGAAGGGTTTTCTTAATTCTTCTCAATATATTCTCAAAATATTTCCTTCTTTCCTCTTCCTCTTCTGTCTTTTCTTTCTAAGTGTGTATGTACAAAGGAAATAGGGACCTCTGAATTGTATCTTAAAGATATTTTCAGACAATGAATATTTATGTTTGATTAATCTTTGGAAGTGTTCAGAAAACATTAATACTCATTAACGAATGGGATAACCATGATATTTCTATAAGAAAAAAATGTCAACAGATATGGTTCTGAGATTTCATGCAGGTCCATCATGATTCTGCAAAATAACTCAATTTGCCTTCTGCATGACTAAACCACAAATATCATAATAAAAGATATTGCATAGGGAGAAAAGCACTATTCAAGGAAAAGTAGGAAGCTAGCTGACTCTACAGTGCTCATTATCACAAGATGTGGACCTAGTGCCAGTTCTGCCATTAGCTGTGTGACTTTGGGACATTTCTCAGTGTCTCAGGATATCAGGTATGTCTTTTGCAAAGGAAAGGAACAAGTTTAGTGGCTCAGCGACTGCTGCAGTAGTGGATTATGAAGGAGAACAGCAGAAGGGGAGACCAAGCACATGGGACACCGATCTCACTTACATCTTCCACTGAGCAGCTCCACTTTCACATGTTTGATATATTAAAATTTAGAGCAATATTTATTTTTAAAAAGTCCTGCTAACTTAAAAATGGGGAAACATAGATTGCATGACCTAAATTTCTATTTAAGATAGCATGGTCTAGTTCGCATGTTTAATTAATATGTTTTCGTCTCAGGAAAAAAAAAAAAAAGTTTTAACATCTTTTCCTGTTCATTCATGTGCTCTTGGTTCAAGTAAAATAAAAACTTAATGACTATATCATTTTTATAGAGCTTATTTTATACTTTTGTAATATATTTCTTTCTTATTAAATAAAAAGATGAGTGGAGGTGTTGCTTTCAAAATAAAATTAAACATAACAGAGAGATTGGATGAAGTCAACTCCTGCCCATGCTTAACTTTAGAGTTATCTTTTCATGCGGCCTTATGGGCACTTAAATACTGTACTGTCTTATCTTTGAGGTAGAACAAAAAAAATGGCAAAAACGTTCACATAAAGGGGAAAATGGAAAAGAAAGCTGTGAGAGATTTCTTTTTAACATAATTATCATCATTAGGCTTTGCAGTCTTCTTTGACACAAAGTTGAGATATAGTCTTCTTAATACGAAGAGCAGTTAGGCGGGCCGCTCCGTTGGCATACCAACACTCACGCATTATTCTCCCCATGACTCGGAGTGCCTTTAAGAGACAAAAAAATATCAAAGACTTTAGCTACTCACATAAAACAGAGCACAAAAGAAGTAAAGCCATAAACCCAGGAATTGATGCCAAGTTTCTTTATTATTTTTTAAGAGATGGGGTCTTGCTATGTTCCCCAGGCTGGAGTGCAATGGCTATTCACAGGTGCAAGCATAGCACACTACAGCCTCAAACTCTTGTGCTCAAGCGATACTCCTGCTTAATCTTCCAAGTAGCTGGGACACAGGCATGCACCACTGTATCTTCCACTGATGCTAACTAAGCTTTGATGAAGAAATAGTAAATGTAAAACAATATGAGAAGAAGATTAGGGTCAAACTCCTTCAAAAATGATATCAAAACTCAAATATTAACCTTGTAGAGACTAACTAAAAAATGTCTCAATCCACTGATTTCTGGGAATATGGGACATGAAAAACATCAAGGGATATGGGAAGGCTTGGAAATTCCCTGTATCTTGATGTTGGTGATGAGTACACAAATGTAGACATATGAAAAAAATTCATCAATCTGTATAAGATTTGTGAGTTTTACCAAATGTAAATTATACTACAATAAAAATTATGTTCCAAGTATAAATATCAGAAATTCTGGACTTTAAAAATGAACTAGCAAAGAGATAAGATAAATACTAAGAGGGGAAAACAATGAAAATGCATGAAACCAGAGAAATAAAGGAAACTGCTGAAGCAAGTGGCTGCTGTAGGGGTATCTGCTACTCTCATGGTCTAGAACTTCAGAACTGGTGGATCGCATGTAATAGACAGTACAGCCCACAGCACACAGAAAGTTTCAGATCAAGATGCCAGCCAGGCAGTGTCTCATGCCTGTAATTCCAGCACTTTGGTAGGCTGAGGTGAGAGAATTGCTTAAGCCCAGGAGTTCAAGACCAACCTGGGTAACACAGGGAGACCCTCTCTCTACAAAAAAATTTAAAAACTTAGCCAGGTGTGGTGGTCCCAGCTATGCAGGAGGCTGAGGTGAGAGGATTGCTTGGGCCCGGAAATTCAAGGCTGCAGTGCGCCATGATCACACCACTGCACTCTAGCCTGGGTGACAGTGCAAGACTCTGTCTCAAAAAAAAAAAAAAAGATGCTTAGAAAGCCCTCAATTTAAGGATGACTACTTCCCTGAAACCCTCTAAGGGAAGTTGCCTAAGTCTTGGCTGTTGGTGAAGAAAAGAACAATCAAGCCCATGCCTTTAAACATTGCAGTAAACCTCAGCTCATAATGAAAATTCACAAACACATGAGGAAAAAAGGTACCATAAGCAAGAGTCCGTTGTAAATAGTAGTTTTGGCCCATAAAAACATTAGATGCTAGAACTAAATGATATAAGTACATAAAATATGTTTTTAAAAGGAAAGAGAAATACAAAATATGAGTAAAAAATGACAATATTTTAAAACGTGAAAAAGTACCAATAAAACATCTTGATATCAAAAATATAACAATTGGCCAGGTGTGGTGGCTCACGCCTGTAATCCCAACTCTTTGAGAGGCTGAGGCGGGTGGATCACCTGAAGTCATGAGTTCGAGACCAGCCTGGCCAATGTGGTGGCACGTGCCTGTAATGCCAGCTACTCCAGAGGCTGAGGGAGGAGAATCATTTGAACTCGGGAGGCGGAGGTAGCAGTAAGCTGAGATCATGCCACTGTACTCCAGCCTGGGCGACAGAGCAAGATTCTGTCTCAAAAAAATAAATAAATAAAGTAGAAAACTCAGTGGATGAGTTAAATAGCAAATTAGACATATCTGAAGGCAGAATTAAAGAACTGAAAAATAAATCTTGAGAGATACATACCATAATGACACAAATATAGAAAATATGAGTGAATTAAAAAAGCAAATTATAATGAAGGGTCTAACATGCATCTAATGAGTTCTCCAAAACTGAGTAATAGAAACAATCAGAGAAAAAACTATTTGAAGAAATATGACTCCGAATTTTCCAGAACTGAGGAAAGTCACAAACCACTAGAATAAGATAGTCCAAATATTCCAAGCAAGATTAACCAAGAGATATCTATACTGAAGACATCATAGAGAAACTGCAGAATGCTGAAGACAGAGTTCTTTAAAGTAGTCATAACGAAAAGCTAAATTAACCAAAAATTTATTGATTGATTATTGCTGACTTCTCAATAGCTAACTGGAAAGTAGGTAATAGTGGGATAATAACTTTAAGGTGTTTAGAGAAAATAACTGTCAACCTAAATTTCTACGGTTAGACAAACTATTTGTTCAAGATTGAGGACAAAATAAAGACATTTTGGATAACCCCAAACTGAAAAATCTTACAACCACTAGGCCTTCTCTAAAAAAACAAAATAAAATACTTTTAAAGGATTCATGTCAGGAAGTCAGAAAATGATTTGAGAGGTAAGAAGAAATGCTAAGCAAAGAAAATGGTAAACATGTGAATAAGTCTAAATAATGATGGCATAAAAAGAGGCCAATATCTATTACATGAGATTGACATAAAACAAGACAGAAACAAAAGTACTGGACAAAAATTGCATATATCAGGAATGTACAAAATTGATCACACTAAAATGACTATGTTGGGTCTATTCCAAGAATGTATATTTGGTTTAACACTGGAAAATCTATAAATGTAAGTCATTGCATTAAAAAACTAAAGCAGAATGCTATATCATCACCTCACAGATATAGTATATGCTTCTATTATATGGAATACTACACAGCAATGAAAATGGACAGATTATAGCTACACATATATAATGGAGAGTGAAAACATTTTGAAAATAATATCTACAGTAAGTTTCAATCACATAAGTTTCACAAATATGCAAAAGTAAACAACATATTGTTATTCTGGATATATGTATATATTCTGAAAAAATATACATATAGTAAAATTCTAAAGCAAAGCAAGAAAATAGTAAAGAAATAATTGATTATAATACTAACCTCTCAGAGGGGTAAGGAATCTTCAAAGGTATTGAAAACGTTCTATTTTTCAAACCTGGTAGTGGATTCACTAGTTTTCATTCTATTATACTTTAAACACTATATGTTTATATTGTTTCATGTACATAAATTATTAGAAAATTTTAAATTTAATTTCAATTGAATTATAAATGCTTCAAAATTTGCTTCTCAAGTATGTAGGTAAGATATCTACACAAAATATAAAACTAACAAAACACAAATCTTGTGTTTTAAATTAGAAATTAGAAAAAGGGTTGAGAAACATGATTAAATTAGAAAAGGGTTGAGAAACATGAAGGAACAGAAAAATGAGACAAAAAGGCAACTATAGAAAATGTTCCCTAAAACAAAACCAGACTAAAAGACATCACCTAAAAAAGACCTCATTCATTACATTAAAATATGGCAAAAAATAGACAGCGATAACTGAAATGAGAGACATTAAAGTATCAGAATGGTTCTGAAACTAGTTAGATGGTTTAGACTCTTTTTCCCACCTTCTACTCTTTTTCCTTGTAAGAGCTAGAAAAAAATCTCTATCTTCACATAAGGCATAACAAGTATTGCAATAACCATTTACTGTTTGTCTAGTACATTACAGTTAAGTACTGGTTTGCTGGAGATGATGAGATAAATAACAATGGTCTCTGATGTGAGGGAGCTTTTCTAATGAGAGAATAAGTTCAAACTTCAGCAGGTTAGAGATGAGGTATAACTTATTGAATATAAAGATGATTGGATTGTAATATTCTGTGTGGCAGAGACATTAACTGTCCACTGAGTCTACCTGTGTTCCCTGCAGTTCCTAGCCCCACTGCAGTTTGGGGGGACTATGTGATTCTGGTCTGAGCCATGAGTGGAAGAGATGTGTGTCACCTGATGCCAAAGCATTAAAGAGCCAGTGTGTGATCCTCCAGCTCCTCTCTTCACCTGACCTAGAGATCTGGAAACTACGTGTCCAAGGATCAAAATCAGAGTGATTACTGAGTCACTGCAGTGAGAACAGGTGCCATGGGGAGTTGCCTAACCTGCAGAGCAGTTTCTGTAAGCAAGAAATAAAGTGAAAAGTCACTGAGATTTCAAGATTTGTTACTGTCACATAACCTAGCATTATGCATGCATAGCACTAAAGGGAAAAAAAAACTCTTCTGAAGACTTATAAAAAGACATGTCGGGGGGCGGAGCAAGATGGCCGAATAGGAACAGCTCCAGTCTCCAACTCCCAGCGCGAGCGACACAGAAGACCAGCGATTTCTGCATTTTCAACTGAGGTACTGGGTTCATCTCACTGGGGAGTGCCAGACGATCGGTGCTGGTCAGCTGCTGCAGCCCGACCAGCAAGAGCTGAAGCAGGGCGAGGCATTGCCTCACCTGGAAAGCGCAAGGGGGAAGGGAATCCCTTTTCCTAGCCAGGGGAACTGAGACACACAACACCTGGAAAATCGGGTAACTCCCACCCCAATACTGCGCTTTAAGCAGACAGGCACACCAGGAGATCATATCCCACACCTGGCCGGGAGTGTCCCACACCCACGGAGCCTCCCTCATTGCTAGCACAGCAGTCTGTGATCTACCGGCAAGGCAGCAGCGAGGCTGGGGGAGGGGCGCCCGCCATTGCTGAGGCTTAAGTAGGTAAACAAAGCTGCTGGGAAGCTCGAACTGGGTGGAGCTCACAGCAGCTCAAGGAAACCTACCTGTCTCTGTAGACTCCACCTCTGGGGACAGGGCACAGTAAATAATAACAAACGCAGCAGCTCTGCAGACGCAAACGACTCTGTCTGACAGCTTTGAAGAGAGCAGTGGATCTCCCAACACGGAGGTTGAGATCTGAGAAGGGACAGACTCCCTGCTCAAGTGGGTCCCTGACCCCTGAGTAGCCTAACTGGGAGACATCCCCCACTAGGGGCAGTCTGACACCCCACACCTCACAGGGTGGAGTACACCCCTGAGAGGAAGATTCCAAAGCAAGAATCAGACAGGTACACTCGCTGTTCAGAAATATTCTATCTTCTGCAGCCTCTGCT